AAGTAGAAATTAATTGAACATCAGACTGTACGCCGCTGTATTTTGACTATTTTGTTGAGCCGATCAGTAAGAATTTTGTGCTTACAGACGGAACTGGCAGCTATTGTAATGGAGGACTTCATTCACATTTTACAAGCCGCAGTGGTTTCAGATCTGTTTTCTGGACTTTATTATGATTAAGAAATGCTGCGGTAACGACGTGGCTGCATTTGCGAAGTTGTCGCATGTAACTTTCATATGCACGTACAGCGACCGATGGAAATATGTCAGTGGTGGAGAAAAGTTTCTTTGCCGTAGCCACATATTGGCGTTAATATTTGTCGATTTGTAAAGTCAGGTGGTTTGAGGTAGGTTATGGCATCCATATCACCGAATAATTTGTGCAAATGTTGGAAAAAAACCAGCCCGAAACTCTGACATCTTTCATCATCGTTGGCAGCTTGTTTACAACCTACAGCGGCCGATTTTGTACCATATCTTGATCAGAGATCTCTTTTTGGAACAATTTCTTTCATTAAGGAATTTAATTTTGACATAAAATAAATCAAGAATGCTAAAACTATCCGTTTTGTTTCTGGTTGGCACATGGTCAAGTTTTCCTGGAGACTTTCTACACCAGAAATTCACACAGTTGTTGCCTTTCTCAGCGATTTGGCATCGTCGTGAAATGTAAACTGCTTTCCAGCTTTGTACTTTATTACTTCTAAAGCTATGGCAGTAATAAAATGTGGAAACCAACGCTTTTGATATTAAGAAGGGCTGCGAAGTAACTTGTTCTTTTTTTAGCCTTTCTAAAATCATTGTTTGCAGATCAATAGCCGGTTTTGTTTATGGCGCGTGGTCCGGATGCCTTTTTCTATGGGTTTACCGGTATAATAAACCATAGGTTTTTGACCAATCAGATCACGCGTACTATCTCAGTTATTTTATAACAGTAAATATATTCCCACAATGTGTGCTCGGGTCAGTATACTGTCGCATTGTTGTTTTTCCGTAAGCTCTTTTTAGCCTAGTTTAGACTAGTTACCAACAAGCGTACTAGAATATGTCCACTAACTAACTTTCAGGGTTTAATTTTTATAGATTATAATGGAGGGAGTAAGGGGCGTTTCCTATTCAAGTGATGTAGCCATAGATAACATCGCATTCAGAAATGGATCCTGTGAACGACTTGGTATGTACTAGTATATTTACCACTGCATTTTTAAAATAGCCCAATATGCTGACACAGAAACTCATAAAAATTATTGCAAACGAAATTTGTAACATTTTTTCCTTTTTTTTCCAGTTACCCAGTCGTTATACGCCTTCATAAAGGAAGATGCTGCAGACTTCAAATTGGACAGAATTCCAGCTCACATTGGATGGGTCTATCAGTTTACAGTGCATGCTCTTCAAACAAGAAACATTTCAACCGATGTGATGTACTTTGTATACCCAGCAAACCCTGTCCATTGTGCAAAAAGCGTCACCCAAGAGCTTTCATTAGACGACCTCAGTTGCTTCCCTCTAGATTTCTTCTTTTCCTCAAGGACATATCAGCCACATTACAAAAAAATATTGCTTCTGAACCGCGGAAAGGAATTACCTTACGGGATTGCTTTGATGGATTACCACACCTGCTGCCGTGAAACAGTTACAGAGTACTTCTTTGCAAATGTGTCTTTAGACCGTAAGTTCATAAGTGAACTTATACTAAGTTGTCTGTAAACTTAGGCATAAAACCCATCTTTTCCAAATATTATTAGACGGTTAGTTTTCTTTTAACTGTAAGCTTAATACCACCGCCGGCTGGTAACGAGATATCCAGTTATGCGGCTTACGAAAAAAGAAACATACGAATCATTATTCAAGTAAAACCTGAAGCTTTGATCAGTTGTTCAGAAACTGGTGTGACGACATTATTGTTGTTGTTGTTTTTTTTTTCCAGCTACAGAACAAAATGCATGCCCACCTGGCTGGGTTAATTTGGGCGAGTCATGTTTTAGAATACTGAAATCTTACCAAACCTGGGAAGACACCATGTTCGAGTGCCAAAACCATGGAGGAAGACTCGCTGTTCTTGGAAATACCACCAAACTGCACGCACTTTCAAGGTTCATCGATGACTATGTGGAGGACCTGGGATACTTTAATGAGTTTTTCGTCGGGGCTCATGCTATCAGTGACGGGCGCTGGATTACTGTCCAAAAACAACTGTTTCCAGCTCAGTCGTTACTATGGGGAACCTTACAACCTTCAGGTGATGGTTGGTGTACAGACCTGATTTTCGAAGAGAAGTGGAATTCTAAGAGCTGGAGAATCAACGACCAAAACTGCTTTTCAGAAGAAGGATTTCTCTGCCAGAAGCCAACAAAGAACACCTCAGGTAATAACATTTAAATTTAGTGTATATGCGCCTGATTTAAACGGAGTTATTAGGTGATATTAAATCAGGAGAGGAGGGATTTTAGAAAGGCTGGATAACAAATTTTAGTTGGCACTTATAATTAATCCTTATTGATACTATAAATACAGATTTTTTTAAAAAGAGGACCTAGCCAAATGTGCAGCTTTTTGAGTGGAAAAGGGCCAAAATACAGGGGTATTTGCGTTCGATAAGCCCGGAAATCACACTAGCGGAGGAAAAGGAAAGGAAAAATAGGGAGGAGCAAAAAGAGAGAAGAATAGAAAAAAATGCAATGATTTTACTCTTAGGTTTTATTTTGGAGACGTTTTTGAACGAAGAAAAAAAACTGCCACACGGAAAGGGTCTTTTTGGCGGTAAAGTTTTCAAAAATTCAGCTAGATACATAGTCTGTAAAAATACCTTTTCCTGAGCGCATGCAAGCATTATTGAATCAAGTTGACTTAATATTTTGGAAAATACTCTCTCCGTTAAATCGTTACATTCGTGATTGGTTTCACAGGATCATCGTGTGATTCCGGTTGGTTCGAGGTGAATGAATCATGTTTTCGAGTGTTTCCGGGGACTTCCTTTGCCATAGAATGGAACTGGGCTCGTTGGTGGTGCAAACTACTAGGAAGTGACCTAGCCGTCGTTGAATCTGAAATTCAAAGAAGAATCATCGCAAACCATCTCACTAACATGTCCAAGAAGTACCCAGATGAAAACATCAAAGCATTTCTTGGTATTCGTAAGTTTGGCACGTGGCATTGGTTAGATGGCAGCAATATTTCAACTAACATTTGGTATTCTGGGTATCCCGATATTTTGTGGAGTGGAGAGTGTGGCTTGCTAGAGAAATGGTGGTTTTCACCTGAATGGAAGCTCTTCCCGGTGTCTTGTTCCCGTCGGTATCACGTTGGATTTACGATCTGTGAAACAGATGAACGTAAGTCCTTCATTATGGTAATTTGATATCCAGTTTTTTGGGGGGATAAGGTTTGTCTTAGATCCATAGAAGATCACTAGACAAATCTTAGAAACCGTCCTTGAAGATGATTCTTTAATTTTGCTCTTACTATTGTTAAATAATGCTTAGGAAGATTTTTGGTCGGTTGGCAATCCGTCCGTTCATCCCAGGCCAACAGCAGCGGTGAGCCCTTCAATGCCGTCGACGGTAACATTGCGTCTTGTTTCACAGTTAAAGGGCAAAGGGTAAGTACTTTTGCGGTAATAATTCATTCCAGTTGAACCACGCTTATCAGATGGATCATCAAATAGCTCTGCTTGCAGTTAAATCGTCTATATTTGTAATTGAGTTGCTAGTTGGCAAGATAATTTATGCTTACTCATTCCAGAAACGTCCCACCCTTTTACTAAATAAATACTTTGGTCAAGTTTACATTTAATTCAAATTTCATTTCCCCTCGTTTATGGATATGGTAACATATGGAATCTAGTTTGAAACCAAAAATATAGAGGTTCACCTTAGAATGAATTGAGCCACAACAAATACTGAATGTACGGTCTTGTTGTAACTTTCTTTACCACAGGGTCAGCCAGTCTGGTGGAGTGTAACTTTGCAAAGACCAGCATTTATCAGCAAAATCTGGATCATTAACAGGCTGGGGTGCTGCCTTGCAGAAATGACCAAACATAATGTCATTTTAAGCAACAATTTAGAAACCGTAAAAGCAAACTGTAAAGTTTACTCCTGGAAGGACAGACAAAAAACACTGATGATCTGTGAACTGTCGATTTCTGCTTCAAATGTAACTATTTATGAAGACGGTGTGGGCGAACTAAGCCTTTGTGAGGTGATGGTAACGACAATAGGTAAGAACTGTAAACGTTTTTTGCGTCATTCGCATTGATAATAATTAAGATTATATTATAATCTTAATTCCTCAATAAAGATAGTTGCTTTTCATTCATCAAATTGAAAACCAAATAATCCAAAGGAACATTCGTTTACAAGACCTCCACGTTGCAAATTTGACACACTCTCATTGTTTGGACATTCTGGCACCCATGTTGTGCAAAAAAAGGTAAAGCAACCATATTTTACGTCGATAACTCGTGACAGTAATAACTGATAAATTTGAGCTCGATGGTGCGCTCATTTTCACCCCCCTCTCTCCATCAATGCTCCGTTTTAAGGGTATTTAAAGCTGGTCAAAGCTACACAGAAAGGGGAGAAGTTGAACTCAAAACAAGGACGTGATGTCACCTCGGATCAATCTCGGGACCGCGCGCACTGAAGGCCACGCACTAGCCAACTAACTATACCATCCTTGCTCCTTGAGATCTTGGAGCGCACAAGATAGAGTGCTCAACCTTGATGTGAACAGAAGAAATGATGCGCACACGAAAAATTGCGACTATTTTTTATGAGCATTGCTTCTAAAAAGCACGCTTTTGATTCTCTTAGTATTTACAAGATATTCGACCATTATTAAACACACAGAAAGCGAAAAGAGTCTTCATGGCGTTCTTCAAGAACTTTGGTACAATATTCCTTCTGATACAATAACGAGTTTGCGGGCAGACAACAGGCTTCCTAGCACTGATCCAGATGTTGTGAACATTCTCCGACAGTTTGATTCTCCCTTCAATTTCCATAAAAATTACGGACAACGTCTGACAGGGTATTTGCAGGTACGTAGTTCTAACATTATTTTTTCTATAAAATTTGGTCTCATATTATGCTCAAAAATAAGAACTTAGCTGTTGTACAAAAAGAGGTACTGACTTTCGACCAAGAATCCTACTTAACCCTCGGACCTACACGCAAATTCATACCCCTGCCGTGGTACAAGAGGGATGGGGGGTGGATGAAACCCCTCCCCGGAGTTTTTGATATATTGCAGTATTTCGAAACGATTTTACCTTTAGTGGAAAGCCTTTGATCTTCTTAAAAAGATGAGGTATATTTTATGGGTGATGGAGCCGCTGGAGGCCTGTGTCGTCACCAACAATAGTCGCCAAACGTCACTTATTTTATTTTCCTTTCTGTCTCGCGTAAGGTACCTGAAAGCGGTAACTACACCTTCTTCGTCGCACGCGATGACAATTGCGAGCTTTGGCTACAACCAGAGAGGGTAGAGCTCGTAGAAAAAATAAAGGACGACAAAGCATCCGAAAAACTACTCCTGATAAAACTGGACTTTCGGACAGACCACAATAAATGGGACAAGTAAGAATACATTGTCATTTGATAAAAAGGTTATGTTCTCCTGAAAACTAAACGGCTCTTCGTCGTAAAGCCCTTTATCCCCTTTATACTGCGATCCGTGTAAAGGTGTTTATCTTTTGAGCGTGAAAAACAATTCGACTTTGGTAGAATTAAAACGAATCAAATTTTGGTTTTACTTTTTGAAAATTAGCGATAATACAGCTTATGAATCACTAACCGCGGGAAAGACCAGATTCAACATTTTATTTGCTTTGCCTGAACAAAACACACTAATCAACGTTTGAATTTAGTTCCCTAGGACAGACGGTTTTTCCTAGATAGCGTAAACCCATCATTCTCATGAGAATGAACTTTCGCTATGAAAAGTCAACCAGTGTGTCGTTTTATGTGTGTATGCATGCATGTTTTTATTAATCTTTTTATTAGTAAAATGATTGTCCGTACCCTTTTTTGTGTACGTTTCTTTAGATTTCCCTCTCTCCAGGCATCCAAAGAAATCTGGTTAAAGAAATGCCAGTTGTACTCTGTGGAGCTACTAATGAAACAATCTGGAGCAAGTGATTGTGCCTCCTTAGGAATGAAGCTACCAAATGGGACATACAAAAGCCCAATAACTGCGGCTCACTTATTTTGGGTGAAGCCAGGTAAATAATTGCATGCAGCTGACGCTACTGGACAACGACACCCTTCGCAAGCGTTAAAATTTTCTGTGTCTGAACATGCTTTCCAACAATTTTTTTTTCGCAAACGGAGACTCCTTGCTATTTACTGACGCCTACCCTTGCTCCATAGACTTTCACCTTTCGCTTTCTCTCCCTACCCTTTTTTTTGTTGTTTTTTCTTCCCCCAATTTTCCTTCTGTTGGGCATGTACTATTAGCGTCTTTTAGCCAGAAAGGTTCCGTCAAAATTCCGACGATCGTAAAGTTCTTGAAAGTAACTTAAGAACAACGTTTGCGTTGAGAATTTCCGTTCACCTTTGAGGCTAGTTTGACTGAAACTTGCTTATTCGGGTATGGTTTGAAAGATCACTTTCCCCTTCACAAATTAGTTGTCAAGTTGTTTATGGCCTTATCATGACAAGTGGTGCAAGGGACATGGCTGTTGCGGGCGATTCAGGGGTGTGAAGGGACTAAGTAATCCTATTATCCAACGCGATTTTGCCAAAAAAGGTTAATAAATCAACGTTAATGCCACTCATCCACAAGTTTTCAATTATTTACGCGGGTCTGAACACTTTGTCTTACCGATCCGATTAATAGTTGTCTTTACGGAAATCCTTATTTGAAAAACATCGATTTTCCTTCTATGCAGATAATGAAGGCTTCGAGATCTAGATCTGTCTTATTGTTGGTATAATTTGCAATTCCTACAGGTGTTGGATATATAAACTTTAACATAACGTCTATTCCTAAAAAGTTCACCCTCAAGACTGGTGAAAAACTTCTTATTCAAGGTATTTTAGGTAGCTTGATTTGCTTACCGGAAATAACTCGTATGTGAAAAGAGTGACTTAATCTTCTTGTTAATTTCTGTTATATTTGTTCTAGTAGCAAAAATATTATTTTTATTAGTGGAAAATCATTAACCACAATTTAAACTCCAACTCTATCATAGTGCTTAAAACTATAAATTTAAAGAATATCAAAACTTTTTGTAATGAATTATAATTTCCAGACAATAAGCCTGTTTTATCTTGATTAACCTGTTTAGATTGTCAAGTCCTTTTCTCTTCTTCAACCATAGCTCATTACAAATATTGCTATCGTGGATTACACTGCTCTGCATGTCCCACTCGCTTACATTTAAGATTTGGTGCGCAAAGGATTTTAGTTCATGATGGTTTAGCGATGGATTGTCAAGAGCGCTATTTCAACGCTAGTTTCGACACCTTTCTACAGGAAGGAACATACCAAATTAATGTAAGCAGTTTGAATTTCTCATATTTATTTTATAATTAAATGATTATGTTTTTACCAAGCATTTGCCTTACAAATGACACTACGTATCGTCGTATGTTAGGTAACGTACAACCTGGTCGATTCCTTGTCAAATACAACAGAGGTTTCAAGGGAAATTAACGAAGTTCATATCTCAGGTATGTCAATCCACGCCGAGGTAAAAGATATTCCTGTTTATTTGAAGTATTTATTATCCAGTAAAAGATTCCACTTTTCTTCTTTTAATTAGCTATCCTAGTTGAAAGTTGCAGCTTCACATCTGACCTTTGTTCGTGGAACAGTAAAGATAACGGCTGGACACTTTCACCGTCTGGCAAAGGTTTGTGTTGTTGACTCTATAATAACCCATGCACATGAGCCTTTAATCTCGACCGAAATGTGACGTAATGGCACCTGAATGTAGCTTCAACAATTGAGAGGGACTTAAAGGAACAGTATCCCGTTACTGCGCATGTGCCGAACTTTGATTTTCTGACGGAATATCGCGAAATTCAAGAGGTGCGAGCAGAGTAATATAAGAGAACGTTGAAAAATCCGTTTTCATTGCGCTTGGCCGAGTTCGATACTACACTGAAAGTCTGAAAGTTCTCAGAATTGCAGATCAATGATATATTGTTTCCGGTAAGTTTCGATTTGCGCGAAATCGGGATTTTTTGGCGTTACTCTCATTGCTGTTGGCTGGAGGACCAAGAAAAGGAGGCCTACTCTGGGACCTAAAGTCGCCTAAAGTCGCCCAAAGTCGCCTAAAATCGCCTTAAGTCGCCTAAAATCGCCTTAGGTCGCCTTTAGTTGCCTTAAGTCACTAATTCATTAAAATCTTAACGAGGTTTAAATTGTCTTGTAGTTATTACTTTTTTAGTTTTCTAGTTCCAGAATGCATGATTTCTCATAAAGTGTGTAATAACCCGTGTTCAATAATATTAGCCACAGACCCACCCCACCCCCCACAAACAACTCCCACAGTGACTTAAGACCCATTAATTTCTTCTCCAGCCCTCTAATTTATACATTTAATTACTTTACGCAATTTTAAACACGTAATAATTAGTCGTAAGCAATACAAGAATAATCATTCCTGTATTGTTTATGCAAAAATGACAACATATAGTACAGAACTTCATCCAGTCACTTGTACAGGTATTTTATTAATTTCATCCGGGAGGTTTGTCTCATATTTCTGAGTAAAAATATTGTTTAAAGAGGCATTCAAAGGTTCAAGTTCTAGCTAAATTTCATTAAACAGTGTGCAAAGAGAGTAGACAGAGTAGTGTCCAGGCAATAGCCCTAGGGTACTAGATTATATGATTGGGCTAGTGAACTGCGTTTTTAACTTGCCTGGCTGGCAAGTAAAGTTTTTTTAGGGAATTCAGATTACGGAAGAACTGTAATCAGTCCCATCCATAAAAAAAATTGGGGTTAGTCAAAATGGCTTTCAGGCTAGTGTATGCTAGGCAAGCTGTAAAGCTGACTTTCTTTGCACTCTGAACAAAATATAATTTAAAAAGTGAGTCTCTTTTCTACTGCTTTGTGAGAGTCCAACATTGAAAGACATTTCAAGTAACTAAGATCAATACAGGTAGGTTGCAGGGGAAAAAAAACAATTATTGCCGCCACAACATTAATCTAAATTTTCTGGTAGTTAATGCAAGTCTAAAGGTTAATCGAAAAAAGTTTCCATGTAAATTACCGACCCAGATTTTAAGAGCAACTAAAGATAAGTTTTTTCTCCGGCACACAACCTCTGATCTGTACACCAGTTTCACAGTAGAAAAGCTGTTTAAAAGCAAGAGGAACGACCTTTTCGGGTAGTGAGGCGGCCAAGTAGCGACAAGATCGCGATAAGTCTTCGTACCGAGAGCCAAATTTTAATATGACGCAAGATTTCTTCAAAAGTAAAAAATATTGCTTGAGAATGTAAACAACAAATCTCCGTCGGCGGTGCGGTCAGGAAGAAAATGTTGTCGCGTCAATATGACAGTTCTATTGTCTTTTTAAGAAATAACAGATAACGCTCGAGCGTGCGCGTAGTCGGGAAACTATCCCTTTAAAGACGAACAGGCTTGCACTCAGCAATTGCAATACATATTGCATTGGAAGCTGTAGAGCAAACTTTAGTTATCCATGTTGTAAACCATCTTAAGCAATTTGTTATACGCATGTCAACTCACAGGGTACCATTTTGCGAATAATACCTTGCGCAATATAGTTGATGACTGCGGAAGGAAAACATAATTTTGAAGCTACAGAGTTCTTCCGTCACATTGTTACGCAATGATAGGAGGAGCCGACAGCAAACGCTTGGCTGCCACAGGCCCGTTATCCCAGCGGTTTCTTATTTTAAGGCTGATTTAGCAACAGGACGGGCTTAACCAATGACAGAGAGGCAAATTAGTGACCGGAAGTCGTGTTTAGTCCTTTCCGCGCGCTTTTCCGTCGCCAACTGACGTTCCCGTCCTGTTGCTAAATCGTCACCAAGCCTTGTTCCGGAAAAAAAAATATGTTATATTGTTTTTTTTTTTGGGGGGCAGTCTTTGAACTTTATAATAAAGACAGTGGGAATTAATTGATGTGTTATTTTATGTATATTCAGGAGTTGTGGCCCGTTTTGACGACAAAGTTGGTGTTCTAGATAGCCGGTGGATTTCAAAAAATATTACTTATGAAAAAACTGGGTTGTGCCTGTCCTTCTCTTATAATTTTTCCGCTCATGATTCTGGGTCATCAGTAACTTTTCAACTGCTGACATCATCAAAAAATGTCTCTTTGTGGAGTCTCCATGGTTACCAGGGCCAAACCTGGCTGACAGGCCAAGTGTCATTCAAACCAAGTGAGGCTTTTAAGGTATGATGTCCTTGGAGTAGCATAATCTATCTTTTCGTGTCGTTGTAGGATTGTTTTATTTAATCATGCCTTCTATATATTTTGTAGGTTCGTATTGTTACTATCGGAAAACAGCCGTCTGGTTTTAATCGCGGGGCAGTTAAAAACATTAGTATTACTACAACACAGTGTGAGCAACTACCGCCTCATAGTTTACCAGGTACGTACTCTGTTCTGATAGTCATCACTTTTGTCCATTAATGGATTCTTAAAACCATCTGGGCACATTCAGCTGTCCGGCGGCGCAAAGTCTGTGCACTTATATGAACAAATGAGTGATTGAAATATGCAAATAATATAAGCGGCTTTTTTACTTCGAGGAGTTTCACGTACTGTCACTATAACGTCATTTTTTCAGGATTCGTGTGCGAGAGCAAAAGTAGTTTTCAGTGCGACAATGGAAAATGCGTAAGCAAAGACCTAGTATGCGATGGAGACAATGCTTGCGAGGACGAATCAGACGAGAAAAACTGTAAATGCCTCACAACTGAATTTGAGTGTCCCACTGGAGAATGTCTTGGTGTGGAGAAGCTATGTGACTCGAGAAAGAACTGTAAGGACGGAACAGACGAGGCAAGATGTGGTAAGCAACAGATTAAAAAAAGTTAATTATTTCCCGGAATCAGATTTGTTACTTTAGGGTCTCATTAATATAGGGCAAAGCTGCTCAGAAGATACTCTTTCTTGCGCTGGAGGTGGTTGCGTACCATGGTCTCGCACGTGCGATGGACATACGAACTGTGAGGATGGAACAGATGAGCCATCTATATGTGGTAATCGCATTTGTTACATGTACTTTTCTTTGATTCGGCTTTGATGGTTTTTTTTGCTGCACATTAAAGTAGCCAGCGATTTGTCTTTCAGCTTAGTATAATTTAGCTAGTAAACGTTTTATCGGCGATACATAAGTAAACTTGGTGTAGATGTCTACACGTCGGAATCTATTGCGTTAAAGGTGTTTTCACAGAGTGTGAGCGGTAAACTTTTCAATATTTTAGCACAAAAGGTCGTTCGTTTCATTTATATTCATGACAATGCACAGATTATTGCGCAGGTAAAAGTCTTGACTAACCTCAGAAAGAAAGATGCTGCCAATACCTGAGTTTGTTTTTAGATCTGGACAGAATCAGAATAGAATAGCGGTTGCCACCAAATTCGTTCCTAGATACCACTACCTACGGTATATTTCCCCTGCTAAACTGTGGTTCTAAATTCTAAAGTGGTCAGTCCCAGAATGTTAAATGATATAGAAACGACACTGTTTGATATCTGATGTTTCGATCGATCTACGATCATCTTCAGTTACAGGTAATATACCAATATACGGTGATGCATGATGCAATTGTATGTGACGTTACAACCGACGTGATAACTATTTAAAATTAACGTTTTTAATAAACGCGAGATAACGAATATTACACAAGCAAGGGAAAGGTACAAAGAAACCAAATAAATTAAATAACAAAATCTGTTTAAATGTTTAATATGCAACAATAATAAATGAACGAATAATAAAATAAACAATAAATAAATATATTAAAGTTAATTAAAATTGTAATAATATACGACACTATGTATAATTATCAACTAATGAATTCATTAGATAGTACTTTTGATTCTTCAGGGTCTTCGCACTGTCCATTGCTTAATCTGAGGTGTGATTTGTTTAACTATACGGATTCGTCAAACTTTTACCAGTGTTTTGGAAACAAAGGTATGGAAATAAGAATCTTGTCCTATATTTTTTGAAAAATGAAGACGACTTTTTACCTGTAACAGTGAAACAGTCGCTTAAAATTAAATTATTATAAAAGGCAAGTGCAAAAGCTTAGTTTCCATACTGAGAAATGAACCCAATTACTTCTCTAAAATTCGTTTTCTTCATAACGTGAATAAGGTATGTCTGCCAATAAGCAGCAGGTAACTTTATGAGATCTGAGTAATCCAGGTATCCTAAATGTATCTAGGCGTAATATAATACAAATAAACACTACCTTTCTATGATTTATCATTTCTTGCCGACAACAGAAATGACATTGCTCTCTACTTACGAAGTCTTTCTTGTGCATTGTGTTAGTTAAATGCGATTTTGAGGATGGGCTATGCGGGATGGAACAGGGTCATTGGCGCATTGGATCTGGCTTAACACGCACGAAGAACACTGGCCCGGATTATGATCACACCACACTTGGACCTGAAGGTTGGTTTGAGTGATACTAAGTCTCAAGTATTTCAGTTTTCTCTTCGTATTCCCTTTTGGAAAGGCGCCAACAAGTGCTACAAACTATCCCATAAACAGCAAGCTGCACTGAGTTTATATTTAAAAAGAAAATTAAAATAGTTATAACAATAGTAGAAACAACGCAATAAAGAAAATGCTAAGAGAAACGAATAGCTCTTAAATGATGGGCTGATACATCAACTGAACTTGACAGCTGTTCCAAACTAAACGTTCTTATTATGACAACGTGTAAAAGACCAAAAGCTTTGATAAGATTTCTGATGCACTTTGTTTGACTCTAAGTCTTTTGTTCTTTCTAGGTTTATTTATGTATTAATTTTACTTCTGCAATTCCTTTGTTTGTATTTATTTACCTATCTATCAAGGAAAATACCTATTTCTGGAAGCATCGGAGCAGAAGGCAGGTGAGGGAGCCATTCTGGCCAGCAGTGCAATTGTTCCTGGTAAGCCTATTTGTTTGCAGTTTTGGTATCACATGAAAGGAAAAGATATCGGGAGCTTGAAAGTCTACATTCAAAAAAATGAAACGAAAACGCTGGTTTGGAATATGACTGGTGCACAAGGTGACAAATGGAAATTTGGACAAGTTGGATACAAAGGCGACTCGAAAAGCTACAAGGTAGGGGTGATTTTGCAACAAATAACTTAATAACTGTTCAAAAATTGCTATCCTTACTAATGATGATCTTTTATCACTGAGATTTGACAATCGGAAAATGAGAGGGCTAGTCAGACGTTGTTGTTGTTGCTGTAGATTCATGATATAAATTAAATAAATATAGTTTTTGTCCATAATACGCAGGGCTATTCAAAGAAACTGAGGGCAGATAGTTCAGTCACAAATTGATTGATTCTCCCCTGGTGACTACTATAAGTTTGAATCGAAATTTACAATTCAATGCGTAGGAATGCAAGTGAGCTTTCGTCACTCAATTTAACTTAGAAAATGGCAAATCCTTTATAAGCGAGAACTGATCTCGTTGTTGAGTAATATGCTCGTTGAGCTGAGATATGGCACCCTTTAAAGTAACTCGTCTGATTCCTCTTTCCAGGTCATCTTAGAGGGTGTTGCGGTTGGTAGTGGAATTTACGGAGACATTGCCGTTGATGATCTGTTCTTACTTGGCGAAAATATATGTGAGACCATAACGGGGAGTGGTTAGTTTACCATTACTAAACTTTTTTTAATTCTATTAAACGTCTGGCTAAAGAAGAAAGCCTCAATTAGGGCTTGTACCTGGTACAGTGGAGCTTGAAAAAAGTTAAAAGCGCGAATGATATGTAAATGGCATGAAAGTACTTTTCACACTTTCGCATTGCCCATAGTACGCACTGTTTGCCCCCTCAACGACCTCCCCACCCCTAAAGTTTTTCCTAATCATTGTTATCAGTTTCATTGGGGCAGTACAATCGTCCCGAAAGAAATCGAGAAGAATGCGTATGCAAGATTTTGGGGAGCAAACAGAGCGCATTATGAGCAGTGCGAAAATGGTGAATTCATTAAATTTTCAAGTATCATTTTTTGGAACAGTGTCTTATATCTATGTTGTCTCCGGAGACTTTGAAGAGGTCCTCGTCGTGATAGATTTAAACTACCTATGTCCGAAGACACAGGTTAAACGAATGTGTTCTCTTTACCGGTTTATTCTCCTCTTCACCGCTGTATTTAACAGAGCTTCCCGGATGTCTGTTTGAGCTGGATCATTGCGCTTGGAAGCCGAGTGACAACTGGCGAATGAGTAAACTTTCCCCTTTGGAATTTTTGGAAAAAGATTGGCAAAACAACATGGGTACGTATATTTTCCCCTTTTGTTTTAATAAAGCAAATAGAGCATTTCGCTGTAAATTCCTCAAATGTTATATTCTACAGGAGGATTTACATATTTGCAAGATTGTTCCAACACGTACAAAGACTCGTGGTGCTATGGGACATTGAAAAGTCGACGCATTTTGCCTGAAGAAGGTTGGAGCTGTATGCAGTTCTGGTATCATATAGGAACCACTGGATCCAGTTCTCTTCAGGTGTTTTTAATAATCAATGAAACTAAAGCCAATTTGTGGAGTTCAGACTCTCATCAAGGAAAAGCTGGACATTGGATGTATGTTCGCTTGCCAATCGACTCTGACTCGAAGCCGCACCAGGTGAATGCCTCAGTTAAATAGAAAACTCTAAAGCTATTGAATGATTCCTGTTTACTTCATCTGATGTTTTCTAGCCTGAGATCATGCCCTCTCCCTATTATCCCTTTATGTCTCTCACGGGAAGAGGGCATGATACATTTCTTTGTCGGATCACATGTAAAAATGCCAGAATCTGGACTTTTTTCTGATTGGATAGGAAACGATGCGGATGATTTGCGCTGTTCCGATTGGCCAAAATGACGCCATCCGTTAGTTGTTGTTGATTTCAGTCTGCATTTTTGCTTGCGTGATAAGCAGTGAATACACACGCGAGTTCGTTATGAAATTTCTGCCCGCTCAGTTTTCTTGAATTTGAAGAATGCCTAAATATAAGTTTCATCCATTGAAATATTTACCATCTCATCGTATACCAAAACAGTTGCAGTCAAAACTTCACCGATCATTTGAATGCAATTTGATACCGGCTACAAGTTACAGAAGCGACAAACAACGGGGTTCACTTTTCAAATAATCAATTCATGAATGGAATCGTGACCTGGTTTGACTGTATTTCCTCCTTCAGAAATCATGCTGCGAATTATTCTGAGCGATCTTCGCTTTCACAACACCTTTCAGTTCGTGAAATATGGTGCTTCAGCCTAATTTTTTTTCCACTGCTTTCGTAGTACAGAACGAAGTCATCGAGCTTTAACCAGTAAATTCTTTATTATTTGTAGCTATTCACAAAGGTACGACAGCTCCAGCTAGCAGTATTTCATCACAAAAACAACACATTAATTTTTTTTTTACGAAGCGCCATCTGAACACGGACGTACTTAAAAATTTTTTTTCCCCTAACACTGATTTCAAATGAGACATTATTCGCGCCAAAATTTGATTCCCGTTTGGTAAACGCTTATTGGCTAAAAACATGACAGGTCAAGCAAACGTTAGATTATGTAAATTAGGGGGCGGTTGACTGCTTGTTAAATAAATGTATCAGGCGTTATTTTTTTTTCCCTCTCGAGCCAAAGAAGCAAAAAAAAAAAAGAAAAAAAAAGACGCCTGATCTCAGGTTAGATGTTTTCGTGCCGATAATTTCTTGACAAGCATACAATGTCATATATAGTTTGACTTAACAGACAAAACAGGCTCCAGCTAAACATGCTATAAATTACGGATTAAACTGCCAAGGTTTAGAAAGGGTTTCGTTTGATTGCATGTTTTTCCAAGTTATTTGAATGTTTAGAGGCTTATTTGTAACTATTTACAAGCTTCTCTGCCAAAATGAGGAAACGACCATTAAAAAACAGGTGGGCACTGAAGAAGAAGTGTTACGGTAAAAGGGACTTGGAAACTTGCATGTCACGCTTTGACGTTGCCTTTTGTCTTACCGAGAAAACACTTAAGTATATTGATTTTTGGGATGTAACTAGGTCCTTCTTGAAGGTCGGACGTCCTCGAAGTGGGAATTGCTCGCCGTGGACGACATAACCTTGCAAACCGAAATATGTCAAGCAATTCCCTGGCAAGGTAAGTGTTAGAAAGTGGTAACCCTATTGAGTTGCATGGTGGGAATATGAAAGGGAGACACGTTCCTGATAGCATAAGAGTCAGTTGCTTTTAGTGTAATTATGTCACTGACTTAGAGCTGATGAAATGATTCATATTTTTGCACTAGGAATGAAGATATTTAAGTAGTTAATGTGATTCACGCCGTTGAACAACAACAGCTTGGGTTATTTTTACTGAAACGCGATGACCAAATTTGTGCGAGTGATCACTTTTCGGTAGTGCAATGGATTGTGATCTTTATCCTTAAATTCTTTCCAAAGAGCATTGTTCTGTTACAATGTAATTTTGAATGCCTAAAAGTAGCCTCTTCGTAGCCTTCATAGACCTCACGAAGGCTTTTGTCCTGGTAAGCAGAGGCGGCCTATTCGAGATTCTTTCCAAGATCGGATGTCCACCAAGGTTCAGCATAATTAGATCCTTTTAGGTAGAAAAGAAGGGGTCTCTGTGGTCTTTGACGGCTCAATATCAGACTCTTTCGACATCTGAAGTGGAGTGAAACAGGGCTGCGTCATCGCACCGACCTTATTTCGGGATTTCTTCGCTTTCCTGCTGAAACAAGACTTTAGAGTTGTAACAGAGGGCATCTATCTCCAGACTAGGTCAAACGAAAATTAAAGCTCTTCAACCTTTCCAGACTAAGAGCAAAGTCCAAATGAAGTAAGTGTCTGCGTGATTTTTTCTTTGCCGACGATGCAGCCATCACCGCCCACTCAGCCGACGACCTTCAGCAGCTCATGAACCGTTTCGGGAAGGCCTTCCAAGATTTTGGGCTGACCATCAGCTTGAAGAAAACAAGGGTCATGGCTCAGAATGTGGACTCACTTTCCAACATTACAATCTTGGAACATGAACTGGAGGTTGTCAATGACTTCGTATCTCTGATACTCTTTCTCTGGATTCCGAGTGTGGAAGGAACCATCATTTCCGAATTGGTCTTTCCAGCCACACAAGGCGCTGTTCGAGAACAATTAGGGACTTTAAGATCCAACGACGCGGACGGCATCGAGAACGTCCAAAAAACAATAGGTTTTTATAAGAAAAACAACCATTTTGCACGTGCATCACACTTCTTTGTACATTTCTTTGCCCGTTTTTGCACGACTACGACGTGAAAATGCCTAATTTGGCGTTTTATGGAGTATGTAAACAAGCAACGGCGAAATTTTATTTCTCTTTCTGAACTTGGATATGGTCTCTAGGAATTCCAGTCCAGGAGGGTTTGCCTACCTTGACAAAACAAGTGGTTAGGAATAATTGCGATAAAAACTGAAAGCATACAAATTAACTTTTTAAGTGAAGTTCTCGTCGCCGTCGCGTCGTTGGATCTTAAAGTCCCTATTAATCAGAGCGCGACACCATACTCTTTCGAGACTGAAGATGCCAATGAAAAGCACATCCAGTCGACTACTAAATTAACAAAGCTCTTTTTGTACAACGTTTTGTACAACGTTTCTTAAAAACTACCATAGGAATGTACCAGTTAATCAAGCTCTTGGAGTATACCATTCCAGTTTAACTTTGTTAAATTGTTTTATATTTCTATAGAAAATAGAACAGAATATGGAAAAAACCTCCTTAAAACGCAGTATTTCTGGAAACTAGACGGAAGCGACAGAAATATAAGGTATGCTTCATATAAGATTACGATAGCCCACTGCCCTTTGAGTAACAAACTTAAAACATGCGATACTGAATGTACAATACGATGATCTACATTGATAGTAACAAAAAAGACGCACTCGATTTAAAGGACGCATAGGTAAACAATTGTTCACCCCCCCCCCAATACTTAACAAGAATCAATAAAATTGGGGGGTTAATGTGGAGTATTAAAAAAAGTAGGCTTAGTTGCTAATTTATTACATATTGCTCATCCTAGTATCGAATTATGTCATGTCCTAAAAACTTTGGCGAAGAATTAAAACTTTCAGTCAGTGACACAGACGGCTCCGAAGAAAAAAATAACCCGAGTACTCCGGCCCAGTGGGAATAAAATCGAAGTTACGACATTCTGGTTACTAGTTCAGATACTCTATACTACTAAGCCGGACACTCGTGGGAACTAAGCGGCCACTAAGCAAGGCTCATGTGCCAGACATCCTGGATACTGCTAATTCTAGAATGTCTATATGTGCTTATGCGCAACGATAGAGATAAGATGGTGAATTTCAAGCTTGGTAAATAAGTGAGAAACATTATTCCATATGCTTTTAGCTTGGAAGGTAACGCTTCATACCAAACTGACGGCGGGATAAAATCTTTGCACCTTGACGGAAGATCTGGTTATGCAGAAATTCCTGCAATCAATTTCACGAAGAGCAGCTTTTCAATCGCCCTTCGATTTAACGTCCACAATTCACACTGTCTTGGACATCTCATTTCTGATTGGTCATCACCAGGGCAGTTTAGATTGTATGTGAATCACAGAAAAGTATTCGTGGAATTGCGACGAAGTGGTGTAGTGCAGACCTTGCTTAATGTGACGAGTGATAGGTTAGTAAAAACGCGTTCGCACAACTTTTTTAAACAGATTCTTTTACACCTGTTCTTGAATACCAGGGCCGGTGGGGAATTATGACAGACGATGAAACAGCATCAACTGTGCTGCGTGCCCATAAAAAAATTACTGGACATTTATTGTCATGATTTTGCTTCTATGGTTGATTGACTTAAAATGGGTCGAATTATTTGTCTTTTGCATAGTTAATTAAGCTCTTAAAAGGGAGATCGTGGGAAAAATTTGATGTGATATGGTATGGTGGTATAGATTCTACTTCTGGAGTAGGAAATAAATAAGAGCATTCGAATTTTAAATGATTGTCGATTTCCTATCATAATCTAGAGACATTCATGCAAAAATCTGGACACACGTGGTATTTGTCTGGAATCGCTCTACCTGTACAGGAAAGTTGTACTTGAATGGTGTGTACACAGGAGAACAACATTGTACTGGTCAAGATATTGACCTCATCCTGACAAATCACACGACATATGAGCTTGGTCTCAAAAAGGACACAAAGGAAATACTCCATGGTTCGCTGAGGGATTTGATGGTCTTTCTGCGACCACTTACGACGGAAGAGGCTTTTACCCTTTGCAGTAAGTTCTGCATTTTGAATTGCGACTACATGGATATTGGTATGAAAGTTTTGCTAGCAATAATAGTTAATAGCGGAGTATCCCGCACAAGAGGCCCGTGAGTTCCCGTTTGTTTACAAGAATACACAGCACAACACATGTATAGGTATGAATTGGGAATACTTACTTGGTGCAGTGGAACTTAATCGAGGAACCAGCACCACCCAATTAGAGGATCAAGATTTTCTAGTAAGGAATTGTTTTTTATCTATTTCCACACTGGTAAATAATTCATCCCTTTCTACAGTTTTCTTTGTGAACAATAATACCCTGATCTCTCGTAGTCTTCGTTCATTTCTGTTTGAAAGCCCTACAAATAACTGATAAGTTATCTTTGTTTAGTAAGAAAGTTAATGAGTTATGAAAACCGTAACATCGGACACCAGGAGCCCACACACCTTAAACTGACTCAACTAAAGTAAATATCGCCAAGAAACTCAGCTCTTACCCATGGTTCTCTTAAGGTGACTCTCTTCTTGGTTCCTGATTAGCAAAAGAAACATTCAAGTCCATCAAAAAGACACTCTGGACTTGTCCATACACTCTAGCTGCTTAAAGGCCCTGAATGACGGAGGACGCTTGAGACTTCAGCAAGTTCTAAGCAGAGAATTCAAGGTTAAGTCACCCCCCTGACTTCCTCCACCCCCCCAGCCTAGCACGTGCTTGAGGGGAATGCTTTCATTGGCCAATGGGCCTCAAACGTCACAAGAATTTCACATGACAAACTAAAGGCAGACGTGACCAGTGCACTGACTCTCCCAGACCAGGACTAACGGAAGGTACAACGCTTTTGCAGCAGCCTCCCCTAGGGATTGACGTGGAGGCCCCTTTCCAACCCATGGCGAGTTAGCTCAGGGACTGAACTTGACAATGAGACCAAGCAGGACAGCAAGCCCCCTATGTTTTCTCTCAGCGTAGTGACCAGAAAGCTGGCTATGGCCAGCTTTCTGTGCGAATATTCTGGTGCATTTTCAGGTAGGTTTTCAAAAATTCGGCTAGATGTTGACGACAAATGCTGTCTTTTTCCAAGAAGGAGGTCACCTCGGGCCAAATCTGCCTCCTCCCAACCCAGTTTGGCCCCATTTCTCCCCTCCCGACAGCATTCAACGACATCATCTAGCCGGATTTATGAAAACCGTAACATCGGACACCAGGAGCCCACACACCTTAAACTGACTCAACTAAAGTAAATATCGCCAAGAAACTCAGCTCTTACCCATGGTTCTCTTAAGGTGACTCTCTTCTTGGTTCCTGATTAGCAAAAAAGAAACATTCAAGTCCATCAAAAAAAGACACTCTGGACTTGTCCATACACTCTAGCTGCTTAAAGGCCCTGAATGACGGAGGACGCTTGAGACTTCAGCAAGTTCTAAGCAGAGAATTCAAGGTTAAGTCACCCCCCTGACTTCCTCCACCCCCCAGCCTAGCACGTGCTTGAGGGGAATGCTTTCATTGGCCAATGGGCCTCAAACGTCACAAGAATTTCACATGACAAACTAAAGGCAGACGTGACCAGTGCACTGACTCTCCCAGACCAGGACTAACGGAAGGTACAACGCTTTTGCAGCAGCCTCCCCCTAGGGATTGACGTGGAGGCCCCTTTCCAACCCATGGCGAGTTAGCTCAGGGACTGAACTTGACAATGAGACCAAGCAGGACAGCAAGCCCCCTATGTTTTCTCTCAGCGTAGTGACCAGAAAGCTGGCTATGGCCAGCTTTCTGTGCGAATATTCTGGTGCATTTTCAGGTAGGTTTTCAAAAATTCGGCTAGATGTTGACGACAAATGCTGTCTTTTCCAAGAAGGAGGTCACCTCGGGCCAAATCTGCCTCCTCCCAACCCAGTTTGGCCCCATTTCTCCCCTCCCGACAGCATTCAACGACATCATCTAGCCGGATTTATGAAAACCGTAACATCGGACACCAGGAGCCCACACACCTTAAACTGACTCAACTAAAGTAAATATCGCCAAGAAACTCAGCTCTTACCCATGGTTCTCTTAAGGTGACTCTCTTCTTGGTTCCTGATTAGCAAAAGAAACATTCAAGTCCATCAAAAAGACACTCTGGACTTGTCCATACACTCTAGCTGCTTAAAGGCCCTGAATGACGGAGGACGCTTGAGACTTCAGCAAGTTCTAAGCAGAGAATTCAAGGTTAAGTCACCCCCCTGACTTCCTCCACCCCCCAGCCTAGCACGTGCTTGAGGGGAATGCTTTCATTGGCCAATGGGCCTCAAACGTCACAAGAATTTCACATGACAAACTAAAGGCAGACGTGACCAGTGCACTGACTCTCCCAGACCAGGACTAACGGAAGGTACAACGCTTTTGCAGCAGCCTCCCCCCTAGGGATTGACGTGGAGGCCCCTTTCCAACCCATGGCGAGTTAGCTCAGGGACTGAACTTGACAATGAGACCAAGCAGGACAGCAAGCCCCCTATGTTTTCTCTCAGCGTAGTGACCAGAAAGCTGGCTATGGCCAGCTTTCTGTGCGAATATTCTGGTGCATTTTCAGGTAGGTTTTCAAAAATTCGGCTAGATGTTGACGACAAATGCTGTCTTTTCCAAGAAGGAGGTCACCCGGGCCAAATCTGCCTCCTCCCAACCCAGTTTGGCCCCATTTCTCCCCTCCCGACAGCATTCAACGACATCATCTAGCCGGATTTATGAAAACCGTAACATCGGACACCAGGAGCCCACACACCTTAAACTGACTCAACTAAAGTAAATATCGCCAAGAAACTCAGCTCTTACCCATGGTTCTCTTAAGGTGACTCTCTTCTTGGTTCCTGATTAGCAAAAGAAACATTCAAGTCCATCAAAAAGACACTCTGGACTTGTCCATACACTCTAGCTGCTTAAAGGCCCTGAATGACGGAGGACGCTTGAGACTTCAGCAAGTTCTAAGCAGAGAATTCAAGGTTAAGTCACCCCCCTGACTTCCTCCACCCCCCAGCCTAGCACGTGCTTGAGGGGAATGCTTTCATTGGCCAATGGGCCTCAAACGTCACAAGAATTTCACATGACAAACTAAAGGCAGACGTGACCAGTGCACTGACTCTCCCAGACCAGGACTAACGGAAGGTACAACGCTTTTGCAGCAGCCTCCCCCTAGGGATTGACGTGGAGGCCCCTTTCCAACCCATGGCGAGTTAGCTCAGGGACTGAACTTGACAATGAGACCAAGCAGGACAGCAAGCCCCCTATATGTTTTCTCTCAGCGTAGTGACCAGAAAGCTGGCTATGGCCAGCTTTCTGTGCGAATATTCTGGTGCATTTTCAGGTAGGTTTTCAAAAATTCGGCTAGATGTTGACGACAAATGCTGTCTTTTCCAAGAAGGAGGTCACCTCGGGCCAAATCTGCCTCCTCCCAACCCAGTTTGGCCCCATTTCTCCCCTCCCGACAGCATTCAACGACATCATCTAGCCGGATTTATGAAAACCGTAACATCGGACACCAGGAGCCCACACACCTTAAACTGACTCAACTAAAGTAAATATCGCCAAGAAACTCAGCTCTTACCCATGGTTCTCTTTAAGGTGACTCTCTTCTTGGTTCCTGATTAGCAAAAGAAACATTCAAGTCCATCAAAAAGACACTCTGGACTTGTCCATACACTCTAGCTGCTTAAAGGCCCTGAATGACGGAGGACGCTTGAGACTTCAGCAAGTTCTAAGCAGAGAATTCAAGGTTAAGTCACCCTGACTTCTCCTCCTCCCCCCCCAGCCTAGCACGTGCTTGAGGGGAATGCTTTCATTGGCCAATGGGCCTCAAACGTCACAAGAATTTCACATGACAAACTAAAGGCAGACGTGACCAGTGCACTGACTCTCCCAGACCAGGACTAACGGAAGGTACAACGCTTTTGCAGCAGCCTCCCCCCCTAGGGATTGACGTGGAGGCCCCTTTCCAACCCATGGCGAGTTAGCTCAGGGACTGAACTTGACAATGAGACCAAGCAGGACAGCAAGCCCCCTATGTTTTTCTCAGCGTAGTGACCAGAAAGCTGGCTATGGCCAGCTTTCTGTGCGAATATTCTGGTGCATTTTCAGGTAGGTTTTCAAAAATTCGGCTAGATGTTGACGACAAATGCTGTCTTTTTCCAAGAAGGAGGTCACCCGGGCCAAATCTGCCTCCTCCCAACCCAGTTTGGCCCCATTTCTCCCCCCTCCCGACAGCATTCAACGACATCATCTAGCCGGATTTATGAAAACCGTAACATCGGACACCAGGAGCCCACACACCTTAAACTGACTCAACTAAAGTAAATATCGCCAAGAAACTCAGCTCTTACCCATGGTTCTCTTAAGGTGACTCTCTTCTTGGTTCCTGATTAGCAAAAGAAACATTCAAGTCCATCAAAAAGACACTCTGGACTTGTCCATACACTCTAGCTGCTTAAAGGCCCTGAATGACGGAGGACGCTTGAGACTTCAGCAAGTTCTAAGCAGAGAATTCAAGGTTAAGTCACCCCCACTGACTTCCTCCACCCCCCCCAGCCTAGCACGTGCTTGAGGGGAATGCTTTCATTGGCCAATGGGCCTCAAACGTCACAAGAATTTCACATGACAAACTAAAGGCAGACGTGACCAGTGCACTGACTCTCCCAGACCAGGACTAACGGAAGGTACAACGCTTTTGCAGCAGCCTCCCCCCCTAGGGATTGACGTGGAGGCCCCTTTCCAACCCATGGCGAGTTAGCTCAGGGACTGAACTTGACAATGAGACCAAGCAGGACAGCAAGCCCCCTATGTTTTCTCTCAGCGCAGTGACCAGAAAGCTGGCTATGGCCAGCTTTCTGTGCGAATATTCTGGTGCATTTTCAGGTAGGTTTTCAAAAATTCGGCTAGATGTTGACGACAAATGCTGTCTTTTCCAAGAAGGAGGTCACCCCGGGCCAAATCTGCCTCCTCCCAACCCAGTTTGGCCCCATTTCTCCCCTCCCGACAGCATTCAACGACATCATCTAGCCGGATTTATGAAAACCGTAACATCGGACACCAGGAGCCCACACACCTTAAACTGACTCAACTAAAGTAAATATCGCCAAGAAACTCAGCTCTTACCCATGGTTCTCTTAAGGTGACTCTTCTTGGTTCCTGATTAGCAAAAGAAACATTCAAGTCCATCAAAAGACACTCTGGACTTGTCCATACACTCTAGCTGCTTAAAGGCCCTGAATGACGGAGGACGCTTGAGACTTCAGCAAGTTCTAAGCAGAGAATTCAAGGTTAAGTCACCCCCCCTGACTTCCTCCACCCCCCAGCCTAGCACGTGCTTGAGGGGAATGCTTTCATTGGCCAATGGGCCTCAAACGTCACAAGAATTTCACATGACAAACTAAAGGCAGACGTGACCAGTGCACTGACTCTCCCAGACCAGGACTAACGGAAGGTACAACGCTTTTGCAGCAGCCTCCCCCTAGGGATTGACGTGGAGGCCCCTTTCCAACCCATGGCGAGTTAGCTCAGGGACTGAACTTGACAATGAGACCAAGCAGGACAGCAAGCCCCTATGTTTTCTCTCAGCGTAGTGACCAGAAAGCTGGCTATGGCCAGCTTTCTGTGCGAATATTCTGGTGCATTTTCAGGTAGGTTTTCAAAAATTCGGCTAGATGTTGACGACAAATGCTGTCTTTTCCAAGAAGGAGGTCACCTCGGGCCAAATCTGCCTCCTCCCAACCCAGTTTGGCCCCATTTCTCCCCCCCGACAGCATTCAACGACATCATCTAGCCGGATTTATGAAAACCGTAACATCGGACACCAGGAGCCCACACACCTTAAACTGACTCAACTAAAGTAAATATCGCCAAGAAACTCAGCTCTTACCCATGGTTCTCTTAAGGTGACTCTCTTCTTGGTTCCTGATTAGCAAAAAGAAACATTCAAGTCCATCAAAAAGACACTCTGGACTTGTCCATACACTCTAGCTGCTTAAAGGCCCTGAATGACGGAGGACGCTTGAGACTTCAGCAAGTTCTAAGCAGAGAATTCAAGGTTAAGTCACCCCCCTGACTTCCTCCACCCCCAGCCTAGCACGTGCTTGAGGGGAATGCTTTCATTGGCCAATGGGCCTCAAACGTCACAAGAATTTCACATGACAAACTAAAGGCAGACGTGACCAGTGCACTGACTCTCCCAGACCAGGACTAACGGAAGGTACAACGCTTTTGCAGCAGCCTCCCCCTAGGGATTGACGTGGAGGCCCCTTTCCAACCCATGGCGAGTTAGCTCAGGGACTGAACTTGACAATGAGACCAAGCAGGACAGCAAGCCCCCTATGTTTTCTCTCAGCGTAGTGACCAGAAAGCTGGCTATGGCCAGCTTTCTGTGCGAATATTCTGGTGCATTTTCAGGTAGGTTTTCAAAAATTCGGCTAGATGTTGACGACAAATGCTGTCTTTTCCAAGAAGGAGGTCACCTCGGGCCAAATCTGCCTCCTCCCAACCCAGTTTGGCCCCATTTCTCCCCCTCCCGACAGCATTCAACGACATCATCTAGCCGGATTTATGAAAACCGTAACATCGGACACCAGGAGCCCACACACCTTAAACTGACTCAACTAAAGTAAATATCGCCAAGAAACTCAGCTCTTACCCATGGTTCTCTTAAGGTGACTCTCTTCTTGGTTCCTGATTAGCAAAAGAAACATTCAAGTCCATCAAAAAGACACTCTGGACTTGTCCATACACTCTAGCTGCTTAAAGGCCCTGAATGACGGAGGACGCTTGAGACTTCAGCAAGTTCTAAGCAGAGAATTCAAGGTTAAGTCACCCCCTGACTTCCTCCACCCCCCCCAGCCTAGCACGTGCTTGAGGGGAATGCTTTCATTGGCCAATGGGCCTCAAACGTCACAAGAATTTCACATGACAAACTAAAGGCAGACGTGACCAGTGCACTGACTCTCCCAGACCAGGACTAACGGAAGGTACAACGCTTTTGCAGCAGCCTCCCCCCTAGGGATTGACGTGGAGGCCCCTTTCCAACCCATGGCGAGTTAGCTCAGGGACTGAACTTGACAATGAGACCAAGCAGGACAGCAAGCCCCCTATGTTTTCTCTCAGCGCAGTGACCAGAAAGCTGGCTATGGCCAGCTTTCTGTGCGAATATTCTGGTGCATTTTCAGGTAGGTTTTCAAAAAAATTCGGCTAGATGTTGACGACAAATGCTGTCTTTTCCAAGAAGGAGGTCACCTCGGGCCAAATCTGCCTCCTCCCAACCCAGTTTGGCCCCATTTCTCCCCTCCCGACAGCATTCAACGACATCATCTAGCCGGATTTATGAAAACCGTAACATCGGACACCAGGAGCCCACACACCTTAAACTGACTCAACTAAAGTAAATATCGCCAAGAAACTCAGCTCTTACCCATGGTTCTCTTTAAGGTGACTCTCTTCTTGGTTCCTGATTAGCAAAAAGAAACATTCAAGTCCATCAAAAAGACACTCTGGACTTGTCCATACACTCTAGCTGCTTAAAGGCCCTGAATGACGGAGGACGCTTGAGACTTCAGCAAGTTCTAAGCAGAGAATTCAAGGTTAAGTCACCCCCCTGACTTCCTCCACCCCCCAGCCTAGCACGTGCTTGAGGGGAATGCTTTCATTGGCCAATGGGCCTCAAACGTCACAAGAATTTCACATGACAAACTAAAGGCAGACGTGACCAGTGCACTGACTCTCCCAGACCAGGACTAACGGAAGGTACAACGCTTTTTGCAGCAGCCTCCCCCCTAGGGATTGACGTGGAGGCCCCTTTCCAACCCATGGCGAGTTAGCTCAGGGACTGAACTTGACAATGAGACCAAGCAGGACAGCAAGCCCCCTATGTTTTCTCTCAGCGTAGTGACCAGAAAGCTGGCTATGGCCAGCTTTCTGTGCGAATATTCTGGTGCATTTTCAGGTAGGTTTTCAAAAATTCGGCTAGATGTTGACGACAAATGCTGTCTTTTCCAAGAAGGAGGTCACCTCGGGCCAAATCTGCCTCCTCCCAACCCAGTTTGGCCCCATTTCTCCCCTCCCGACAGCATTCAACGACATCATCTAGCCGGATTTATGAAAACCGTAACATCGGACACCAGGAGCCCACACACCTTAAACTGACTCAACTAAAGTAAATATCGCCAAGAAACTCAGCTCTTACCCATGGTTCTCTTAAGGTGACTCTCTTCTTGGTTCCTGATTAGCAAAAGAAACATTCAAGTCCATCAAAAGACACTCTGGACTTGTCCATACACTCTAGCTGCTTAAAGGCCCTGAATGACGGAGGACGCTTGAGACTTCAGCAAGTTCTAAGCAGAGAATTCAAGGTTAAGTCACCCCCTGACTTCCTCCTCCCCCCCAGCCTAGCACGTGCTTGAGGGGAATGCTTTCATTGGCCAATGGGCCTCAAACGTCACAAGAATTTCACATGACAAACTAAAGGCAGACGTGACCAGTGCACTGACTCTCCCAGACCAGGACTAACGGAAGGTACAACGCTTTTGCAGCAGCCTCCCCCTAGGGATTGACGTGGAGGCCCCTTTCCAACCCATGGCGAGTTAGCTCAGGGACTGAACTTGACAATGAGACCAAGCAGGACAGCAAGCCCCCTATGTTTTCTCTCAGCGTAGTGACCAGAAAGCTGGCTATGGCCAGCTTTCTGTGCGAATATTCTGGTGCATTTTCAGGTAGGTTTTCAAAAATTCGGCTAGATGTTGACGACAAATGCTGTCTTTTCCAAGAAGGAGGTCACCTCGGGCCAAATCTGCCTCCCAACCCCTCCCAACCCAGTTTGGTCACCCCCATTTCTGCCCCTCCGACAGCATTCAACGACACATTCAACGACATCATCTAGCCGGATTTATGAAAACCGTAACATCGGACACCAGGAGCCCACACACCTTAAACTGACTCAACTAAAGTAAATATCGCCAAGAAACTCAGCTCTTACCCATGGTTCTCTTAAGGTGACTCTCTTCTTGGTTCCTGATTAGCAAAAAGAAACATTCAAGTCCATCAAAAGACACTCTGGACTTGTCCATACACTCTAGCTGCTTAAAGGCCCTGAATGACGGAGGACGCTTGAGACTTCAGCAAGTTCTAAGCAGAGAATTCAAGGTTAAGTCACCCCCTGACTTCCTCCACCCCCCAGCCTAGCACGTGCTTGAGGGGAATGCTTTCATTGGCCAATGGGCCTCAAACGTCACAAGAATTTCACATGACAAACTAAAGGCAGACGTGACCAGTGCACTGACTCTCCCAGACCAGGACTAACGGAAGGTACAACGCTTTTGCAGCAGCCCCCCCTAGGGATTGACGTGGAGGCCCCTTTCCAACCCATGGCGAGTTAGCTCAGGGACTGAACTTGACAATGAGACCTTGTTTATGAACTGTCACCCTATTTCTCAGGACATCACCCGTTTCTCCTATATAATTATGTCCACATCCTGCACATGTTATTACGTAAATCAAGTTCGTTGAGGTGCAGTTCATCGAATGGTTTATCCGAAATGTTTCATTCGTGGCGGAGAAGGTAAATTCTTTACCCTGTTTTAAATAGGGGGCATGTTCCGCACCGTTTTGTTCCACAAATTTTAACTTCCGGATCAGTGTCCTTTAGCCTGGAGAAATAGGAGTTAGTTATAACATTCGTTTGAGGTTTCTGGGTTGTCGCTGACTGTGAATTACTTTAGTCTTGCTCATAATGGATTTTAATGAGGAGTTTTGGTTTAACATGGGGAGTGTTCTCCTGACCAGCTGGAATACTTGCGGATTGTTGGGATTGTAAGTTGTTACCAGACAAAGGAGGTTATTTTCGGTAGCTTGCTCTCTCACCCTTCTTAACTCTTCCGTTGTCAGGGTGAGGGCTTTGTTTACACCGTAATCAATGATCTCAGCTGGATACTGTTTCCTCAGCAGGATCTGTTTGAGATCGTCTAGTCGCCTTTTCCTTATGTCCTGGTTTTCAACAATCATACATATCCTCCGAGCCAGGTTGTATGGTATGTTATTTTTAGTGTGTCTTGGATGGCTGGATGTATATGGGAGGTATTGGGATGAATCCGTCGGTTTATAATAAATATCGGTTGTTAGGTGAGTTTTGTCTTTTCTTATCATCACATCAAGGAACGGAAGTTCTTTGCAGCTAGTTTCAGCAGTAAGTTGAATGCTTCCATCTAAGCTGTTTAAAATATCGTGAAGTTCCTTTAATTTATCCTCACCGTAAGGCCAGTTTATGTAGCAGTCATCCTAGAACCTTCTCCAGTTTGTGTAAACATAATGGCCTATTTCTTCTCCCATTTTATTAAAGACCTGACTGTAGAGTTCGTTCTCCAAATATCCGAGAACAAGGGTTGCATAGCTGGGAGCCATTTTCGTTCCCATCGCAGTACCTTTCTTTTGAAGGAATATTCTATCATCAAAGGTAAAAGTATTATTCGTCAGTATTAAAAGGATTGAATCGATAATAAATTCTTTGCTGAAACGTGAGTTCAGGCTCCGTGGGTGTTTATTGATCCAGTATTCCATGGCCTTTACGCCGAGTTCGTGGTTGATGTTTGTGTACAAGCTGGTCACGTCGAAGGAGACTAATATTGTAGTTTCAGGTACTATCCTTGGTAAATAATTGAGGAAATCGATAGTGTCCCTCAGATAACTTTGGACATGTAAAGTAAACGGCTTGATAAGGATGTCTACAAAGTTACTGAGTCTACTCGTTGGACATCTAGGACCAGCTACTATGGGCCTAAATTTGAGATCTGCAGGCCTGAGAACTCTGATATATGGTTTCTTTTGGACTTTGGCTTCCTGACAAATGATCTTGCTTTTATGTATCTTTGGAAGGCCGTAGAAACCACTGGTTTTAAAATCGAAGTGACAGAGGTAGTTAACCTCTTTCTCTGTAAGGCTGTGACTGTGATTACCTGCTAACTCCTTCATAAGTTTCATAACGACTTTGTCCTTGTTGGCGGTAATTTCCTCATATGTTTGTGAGTCATTCAGCATTTCGAGTATTTTATCGGCGTTGTATGTGCGGTCCATAACTACACTGCCCCTCCTTTGTCAGCTTCGAAGATAAGTATTTCAGAGTCCTCCCTAAGCTCCTGTAGGGCATTTTGTTCCTCTTTGGTTAAATTGGAACGTTTGATGTCTTTCACTTGTAATTCTTCAAGTGGAAATTTCGTGAGGAAATCTATGTAATTGTCTAGGGTAATGTTTCTGTTTCTAGGAGGGCAAAAGTTACTTTTATTTTTCGCCAGACTTTCGTCGGTGTCTTAAGCGTCCGATTTATCCTCGAAAAATTCCTTTTTCCGTAACTTCGTGCAGAAGTTTTGTATATCGGCGCTAATTTCACACATGTCTTTTTTCGGAGTCGGAGTAAACTTAAGACCCTTCGATAAAAGTTTGATCTGCCCTTCTGTAAGTTCTTTAGAAGACAGATTCACTATCTTTAAATCGCAGAAACAATCCTCACTTGTCATTTCCCTAGACAGCTCCGAAATCATGTTTGATTCGGATTGCTGTACCGGCCCTGCCCTAAAAAAGGCCTCCGGTTGTAATTTGACCTACCGGTGCTCCTATCATTATCCTTACTGGTACGATTATTGTTACCAACCCTGCGGTTGTTTCCACTGTTACGGTTAGAGTTCCCAGAGGAGCTGAAAAAAATAAAAGAGGCACTTTCATTGGAAAAGATGAAGGCACAGGCCAAACTTCACCATGCGGTAGCAGTACGCAACAATGCGAAATTCGAAGAAAAGGACAGAGAAATGCTGAATGAGATAGAAAAAGTCTCTTCTGTCCACGTTCGCCAACAACTCCAAGAGCTTTGGAAGAATGACTGTAAAAAGCAAGAGGAAAAATCCCAAAACCTGTGGGAAGTAAAGAAAAGTTGGTTTAAGAAATTCGAAGACAACGAAGAAAATATCGCCAACTCGGAGGATGCGGCACCTACCCCGCCAACAAACCAAGATCAAAGGCGTGGAAAGCGCAGAAATGCGAGACAACCGCCAAAGAGACGGCGAAACAACAGCCGCCCCAGAAAGAACAACCAAAACTTCAACAACGCAAGTGACAGGAACAGAGATACCGCTAATAGTAGAAATAGTGGCAACAGAGTCTCGCAACAACGAAGAAAGAAGGGACAACAGCGAAACTCAATTCAAAATAATTGTCGACAAATAAGTCGACCACAGGAAAGGAACTCTAACCATAACAGTGGAAACAACCGCAGGGTTCGTAACAATAATCGTACCAGTAAGGATAATGATAGGAGCACCGGTAGGTCAAAATACAACCGGAGGCCTTTTTTAGGGCAGGGCCGGTACAGCAATCCGAATCAAACATGATTTCGGAGCTGTCTAGGGAAATGACAAGTGAGGAATGTTTCTGCAATTTAAAGATAGTGAATCTGTCTTCTAAAGAACTTACAGAAGGGCAGATCAAACTTTTATCGAAGGTTCTTAAGTTTACTCCGACTCCGAAAAAAGACATGTGTGAAATTAGCGCCGATATACAAAACTTCTGCACGAAGTTACGGAAAAAGGAATTTTTCGAGGATAAATCGGACGCTTCAGACACCGACGAAAGTCTGGCGAAAAATAAAAGTAACTTCTGCCCTCCTAGAAACAGAAACATTACCCTAGACAATTACATAGATTTCCTCACGAAATTTCCACTTGAAGAATTACAAGTGAAAGACATCAAACGTTCCAATTTAACCAAAGAGGAACAAAATGCCCTACAGGAGCTTAGGGAGGACTCTGAAATACTTATCTTCGAAGCTGACAAAGGAGGGGCAGTCGTAGTTATGGACCGCACATACTACGCCGATAAAATACTCGAAATGCTGAATGACTCACAAACATATGAGGAAATTACCGCGAACAAGGACAAAGTCGTTATGAAACTTATGAAGGAGTTAGCAGGTAATCAGAGTCACAGCCTTACGGAGAAAGAGGTTAACTACCTCTGTCACTTCGATTTTAAAACCAGTGGTTTCTACGGCCTTCTTAAGATACATAAAAGCAAGATCATTTGTCAGGAAGCCAAAGTCCAAAAGAAACCATATATCAGAGTTCTCAGGCCTGCAGATCTCAAATTTAGGCCCATAGTAGCTGGTCCTAGATGTCCAACGAGTAGACTCAGTAACTTTGTAGACATCCTTATCAAGCCGTTTACTTTACATGTCCAAAGTTATCTGAGGGACACTATCGATTTCCTCAATTATTTACCAAGGATAGTACCTGAAACTACAATATTAGTCTCCTTTGACGTGACCAGCTTGTACACAAACATCAACCACGAACTCGGCGTAAAGGCCATGGAATACTGGATCAATAAACACCCACGGAGCCTGAACTCACGTTTCAGCAAAGAATTTATTATCGATTCAATCCTTTTAATACTGACGAATAATACTTTTACCTTTGATGATAGAATATTCCTTCAAAAGAAAGGTACTGCGATGGGAACGAAAATGGCTCCCAGCTATGCAACCCTTGTTCTCGGATATTTGGAGAACGAACTCTACAGTCAGGTCTTTAATAAAATGGGAGAAGAAATGGGCCATTATGTTTACACAAACTGGAGAAGGTTCTTGGATGACTGCTACATAAACTGGCCTTACGGTGAGGATAAATTAAAGGAACTTCACGATATTTTAAACAGCTTAGATGGAAGCATTCAACTTACTGCTGAAACTAGCTGCAAAGAACTTCCGTTCCTTGATGTGATGATAAGAAAAGACAAAACTCACCTAACAACCGATATTTATTATAAACCGACGGATTCATCCCAATACCTCCCATATACATCCAGCCATCCAAGACACACTAAAAATAACATACCATACAACCTGCCTCGGAGGATATGTATGATTGTTGAAAACCAGGACATAAGGAAAAGGTGACTAGACGATCTCAAACAGATCCTGAGAGGAAACAGTATCCAGCTGAGATCAATGATTACGGTGTAAACAAAGCCCTCACCCTGACAACGGAAGAGTTAAGAAGGGTGAGAGAGCAAGCTACCGAAAATAACCTCCTTTGTCTGGTAACAACTTACAATCCCAACAATCCGCAAGTATTCCAGCTGGTCAGGAGAACACTCCCCATGTTAAACCAAAACTCCTCATTAAAATCCATTATGAGCAAGACTAAAGTAATTCACAGTCAGCGACAACCCAGAAACCTCAAACGAATGTTAACTAACTCCTATTTCTCCAGGCTAAAGGACACTGATCCGGAAGTTAAAATTTGTGGAACAAAACGGTGCGGAACATGCCCCCTATTTAAAACAGGGTAAAGAATTTACCTTCTCCGCCACGAATGAAACATTTCGGATAAACCATTCGATGAACTGCACCTCAACGAACTTGATTTACGTAATAACATGTGCAGGATGTGGACATAATTATCATAGGCGTACGGGCCGGGGGGGCGAGGGGGGCTGCAGCCCCCCCAAATTTTGGACAATTCAGATTTTTTGGGCAGCGAGAGAAAATTTGGGCAAAGCCAGTTTTTAAAGACGTCTCCATGTTTATTTAATTATTTTAAAGACCTGAATATTAACCTGAAGTCGGCGTAATAATCCAGTTACATTACAGTGGTTGCCTAGCATGTGGTGACGATACTTTACATATTTGCAGCATTTTTTTGTTGGGCACTATACTGCACTGCACTAGCTGGAATGGGCTATTTCCAGTCGTGAATTGATTAAAATAAACTTTCGAATAACTTTCTAGAATCATCTCTACTAGAAAAACAAAATATGGCAGATAGCATTTACCAATGGGTATGAAAATGAAGAAGTGGCTGACTAGTCTCAGTTTGAATTACGAGAAGAATTTTAATTCTTTTAAAAATCTATCGAGAGGTTTAAAAATTATTCGCTAATTTGTTAAAGTAGACCGAAATGTTTACAAAACCGCTAACAAGAGTGTCTCGATACATACTAATCAAATCCTTCTTTCGATTCTAGCAATCAAGCAGAGCTATCTCCACGATCTTTTACACATGTTTTTAAAAAGATTAAAACTACTATGAGGTGAAATTGCAGGTCTAAAGCGCTTCGTTTTCTACAGATAACAGCCAAAAATCAAGATTTTCCTCTTCTTACCGTATTTCTAATACAGTAAAAACTCGCAACTAAGAACCTACATTTTTAGCAGTTAGCCTAAATGGGTTCTTATATAAATGGTAGTTAACAGAATTTTAGGCTATTTAGGTTCTTAAAATGGGTTCTTAATCCTGGAGAAAAAACAATGCATAATGGTGTGCTGAGGCTACATATTGCTTAGTATGCTTTGTAAGTCTACATACCTTGCACTCATTTTTCCTTAAAAAACATTTTTACAACAATGGCGATCTGCTTTTTTTGCTTCAAATATGATTCTTGCAATACAGCTGTAATGTACTAGTATGATTTTAGAAATAAGAACCTGTTTTAAATTTCTAAGGCTAAATAGGTTCTTGTTTATAGGGGGTATAAATGACCAATTTTAGGCTAACAGGTTCTTAATTTTTACGTTCTTAGTTGCGGGTTTTTACTGTAATAAAAACTTCTTTCCAAAATATCTCGATAACGCTCTTAAGGTTTTGCTTAAACTTCACGAACATCGAGGCGACCGTATTGGAGAAAAAAGCTCCTGTGAACGATTTTGTAAGGTTCCTGTGCTGGGAATCATTGCTGACGTAAAATAGGTAATGAGCGGGGGGAGTCATTTCGTTGCTATGACAACTCCGATGTCATTGCAACCCTGGTGATGACAAATTTTCATCTTAATACAACTGTGGTCGCAATTTTTCCAAATGTTTGTTTATGGCGACGTTTGTTTATCAAGCCACCTTCATATTCCAGGAGAGTCTACGTTGTTGCCATATGGCCCTCATTTCTTTACGATTCTTTCGGAAAAATTTGGGCAACTTGCGAGATTTTTTTGGGCAAATGGTTTACCGCCCCCCCTGGCAAAAAATTTCCCGTACGCCTATGATAATTATATAGGAGAAACGGGTGATGTCCTGAGAAATAGAGTGACAGTTCATAAACAACAAATCAGAGACCCGCACACACGTATGCTGGGAGTCAGTAAGCATATCGATGAATGTGCGGCGGGATTGACTCCTCAGTTTACTATCTTTCCGTTTTACAAGATTCACAGCCCCTCCGAGGGCATGAGAAAAAACAAAGAGAGGTTTTTTATTTTGAAATATAAACCCGTTCTCAATGATTTGAAATTACGCTAATTGCTCGCGCGTGCTACGAATTACAACAGCCATTATAATTGTAATTACAATTACGTCTGTGACGTAATAAGTTAATAAAAACACTTTGCTATGCCTGAAGAGCCGCAACAGCGGTGAAACGCGTAGCACAAAAGCAAAGAAGACTTTCGTTTTTCATTGTTTTTAGTATCTTCAATCGACACAGAAGTTTACTTTCTATATATATATATATATATATATTTAATTTTTACTATTTTTAGCATACGAGATTTTAGGAATATATATTTGGGATTAGAATTTTCCTATGTATAGTTTTTTATATTTTATTGTTTGTTCTAGACAGTTAATTCTTATGAGAAATCCTTGTGTTCTGTATAAACTGTCCTAATTATGCAGATATCTCTTATATATTTGGTTCTCTTCGCTTTTAATTGTATTATTTTGAATATCTGTGTAATTGAATTGAGTAAATAAATCAATCAATCAGTCAATTTTACTTATGTTATTGTTATTTTTTCCTTAACGTACAGATTATTGATTATCAGTCAATTCACTAATTGCATGATTCAGCGGTTTTACATCAATGTTTTTCATTCGTTTTCTAGGTGCTGTTTTCATTACATATCTTGCTGTCAAATTTTTCAACTGTCTCTCTCTCTCTTTCTCCTCTACTCTTTTCTAGTAAACGTTGGAGGTTTCCAGTTTTACGAAGGTTTATGTGGATGGAAAAATTCTAACCAAAGTGTTTCACCTTGGAAACAAGCAGTGGGTCTGGATATGGCAGCCTCTACCAACCAAGTTAAATCGTATTTGAAAAGCAAGGGGAGAAGATCAGAGCCAGGTTGTTAAATAGGGGGACATTTTACTCCCTTTAATTTTCAGTACACTTTAAAAAGAGCCTACTGTACTGTAATGAAAAGCTAGGTGTTAGATATCAAACTATCTTTTTAAGTAGTTCATGCATCGCGATCTTCACTGTGAATAGCTAAAGCATTCTTGCAAATGGGCTTTAATCTCGATGTTATCTTTCTATAGGCTTTATGAAGGAAAGTAGTTACCAACTAAACTTCGTTGAAAATCACAATGGATATGTCAACATAACTGATCTTCCAGATCTCGTTGCTTTTACGATCTGCTTCTGGATGAAGACTTCCGATAATACGAGTGCAGGGACTCCTATATGGTACAGAGTCCGACATGAAACTAACGGGAAATACATCCCTGCTATTGCACTTGTGGACTATCGAGGATTCTACATTTATATAGGCGAGTCGAATCCGTAAGTGTACTTAATTTCAATTTATTTTGCCTCTTCCTAGCAGGGAGGGAAATGTTCATCTTGTTTGTTTTTATCGTCCATAAAATATCTCAGCGGGGTGTCAATGGGTTAATTCTTAATACAATATTGCCGTTTTTCTAGGACCAAAACTAACTCAGCAGCAAATAACGGCAAGTGGCATCATATTTGTTTGGCATGGACTTCTAAAAGCGGAAACGTCACTCTACATAACGACTGGTCAACATTTTCAGGAACCATTGAGAGAGAAAAGATTCATGGTATGCACAGCTGTGATGTTATGTCTTTGTTGCACTGAGTAGAACTTGAAACTAAACTAGTAATAGTTGACACTACAGCTGCCTCCGCTCTGTATATTGTCGGTCAACAGTATTCTTGGTCGTTGTGTAGCTCTTTGAAACATACCAGTTCATAATGAAGATTTTCACACATATTCCATACAATAGGTGAGATAAAAACAGGAAACACAAGGTTCCATGCACAGCTTCAGCTCGATTTACACAGCTTTGATCAAAACATTGTCAGTTTCGAGAATAGTTTATTCTAAACCATAAGAAATAGATTTCATTAGGAGGGGGACATGGGGATTTACGGTATTGCGGTATTGGTTTTTTTTTCATGCGGTATTTCGGTAATTTTAATCTTAACGTGCGGTATTGCGGTATCATCTAGCTCTGCAGTATGCGGTTTTTCTTCATTTTGGGTGACGGTATTCGGTGAAATAAGATTGTTCACGGTATAACGTTACCGTTTACTTGCGCTTTCCAATCGGTACAATACACAAAACAAAACACAGTAAGACATAAAGGTTAATAAAAGTTAATATTTAGAAGTCTTGACACATAACGGTAAATAATTACACCATTTGTGGGTCATTTTGTGACAGTTAATGCTCGATAATATACAATGTGATTGTTGTTGCATCCAATGATAATGAGTCGCCTCAAGTTACCTTACCAGGCTTTTCGATCTGTGTACCTGTGCCGGTAATTCGAGGTCTTGGACGTTTTCTCACAATGTCTGAGGTCGTCGAGGTTGAAGACGACGAGGTCATCATTGACTGTGTGGCAATTTTTTAGCGGAGCTCTCGCGCGCGAAGCGCGCCAGCAGAGCACCATGGGTAAGAAAATGAAGTAATCTATCCATCCGAGAAAATTTGGTAATCACGTGACCGTACATCTACCGACCGACCGCCCGAGAGACCGTCCGTCCGCACCACAGGCATACCAATGTAAAATAACTCAATCAACAGGTATGGCAACCGAAATGCAACTCGAGGTTATTTTGGCGGGAAATCGCATAGCCACCGGCGTCTTGTAAAGCAGAGACAACACAAGAGTCAATAACGACGAAAACGGAAAGCGGAAATTTTTTCTGTATCCGTGTTGTCTAAAGTATTAAGCTTAGATAAATTGTCATGTCCACAGATTTGGAATATAGAGCAAGAGAACGACAGAGAAAAAGAGAAACTGGGCGGCAGGCCAGCAAAGTTCAACGAGAAAAAGGGCGACGGAGATTTAAAAAAGAAAATTTTGTAGCGGCGGTGATGAAATGAGAAATGCTTGCGGCCACCAATAAAGTAAGGTGAAAATGAGGGGCAGTGAAAAAAAGTGAACGAGAACAAGTACGACATTTCCTCCATAAAACGTGTAACTAAGGCCCTGTTTACATGGAGGTGGGGGACCCCAGGTAGGTGAGATAACCCGTTTAGGTGAGGTTAAATATTAACCCTCCTTTACATGCAACCTTACAACCCCTCCATCCCGGGGTGCTCTTTTTCAAGATTATTGAATTGTCACTAAGCACGGCAAACCATGTGTTTTGGTGATGATTATTGCTCTTCTACACTCACTTGCTGCTCTTGCTGCAACCTTCAGTGCTGTGGCTTTGCATTGTTACCTTTAATAATTATGCAAAGCCACCGCCAAAGTGAATTTTGTGAGAATTTGATGTATCACGAATCCGACCCCGGCTAGGCGGGTTACCCCACCTTGAAGTTTACATGGCAAAATTTGACCCCGGCTGGGAGGGTTACCTGGTCTGGCAGACCGGGCTAACCGCCTTGGCGGGTCACACCTCTTATCATGTAAACGTAATCAAATTAAAATGAGAGGTTATATGGACAGGCGGGTTACCACAGCTAAGCGGGTTAGCTCACTTACCTGGGGTCCCACACCTCCATGTAAACAGGCCCTAAGAAGTTTGTGGAAGTTTCATGTTGTAGTCGTGCAAAACAACGGCAAAGAAATGTACCAAAAAAGTGTGCTGCACGTGCAAAGTTGCTTTTTTGCTAATTAGACCTATTGCTGTTTTTCACCGTTCTCCGGCGTTGCATGCCTTCGCCTCTTAGCATTACCATACAATATCAAACAATAAACTGTAAATATTACAACTATAAATATGAACAAACTATAAATATTATTGAGAGCTTCGCTTTTAGCCCTGGCTAAATCTATATATTATGAAGAGGGCGAAGGAGGCGAACAATATCGCAAAAAGAATAAGTTTAGATGTCGGGTTTCGAGAATTGAAAAACGCCTTGTAAAGTTAAAAGAGAAAATTTGGGAAGTTTGTCTCTTACTAGCGCGGCGTGTGAGACAGTCGAGATAGTTGACCCCTGAGAGACTGACGTGCTAGACTACAGCCGTAGACTCACCTATCAAAACTCGCACTAGACGTGCGTGGAAAGGGTTTTGGTTAGTTTGTTTTTCGCGCTTTCAAGAGTTATTTTTATTGGAGTTAATTAGCTGTTGGGTCGACCTACCAGAAGGCTGAACGAATTTAGTTTAACTTTAAGTGAAAATTTGCCAACTACCAAAATATTAAAAAAAAACATGGAAATCTGGTGCATAAATGCCTGAGATAATTAGACGCGCTAGATGGAAGCAACCATAAGTATGCGGAACCGATTATAACTGTGATTAAAATATGCGGTATCGGTATTTAGACGATTTTCGAAGCGGTATTTCAGTATTTGCTATTTTTTCTTACGGTATTGGGGTATTGGGTACCCCCCAATGTCCCCCTCCATTAGAAGTTGAATTTTTCGCTATTTTTCTTCCACTTTTTACATACAGTTCATTTTATTTGCCGGAAAGTAAGCCTTAGAAATTAAAAGGACGTTTGATCAATTCACGCTCGTGCATTCTAATCTTTTAAACTTCATAGGGGAAGGACATCTGTGAGCAGGGAATAAGTCAGCACAGAATTTGACTGTCGGCGAATTTCAGTAATGGTCCATCGTTCTGCTAGTGATAAGCTAGCCGTTGATCCACTCGTCTTGCTTGTTTGGTGCGGAGTCTTATTCCGGTCTAAGAGAGAGAAAGAGTGTCTGGCAAGGTTTCCAATCAAAGATTTGTGAACTCGTGTCTGGCAAACTCTCCAAGTGTTTATAGTATATATACACAGTTATACGCACCTTACAACTTCATCAGCACTTAACGAGTGTCTTTTGGTCCATAACTTTCAAAACAACTGCCCCACAGAATGTCACTGATAACACATAACGCAAAAGAGTATCGAAGTATGACTGTACAATAAATGTCACAAAATCTACCTAAGCGGTCCCTTCGGGATTTTCTGTGTTTACGTCATCCTAACCATCTCGTACTTGCGGACGCGAACAATAGAAACGTCATCATTACCTACCGATTCCTCGCGGCCCCTGTTCAAGCAAATCGATATTTTTTTTGGCATACTGACTGTATATTTCAACTGTAAATACTTTCCTTAATATATGCGCGAGTTACTAGAGTGCCTCCTGGGGATTTCGCCTTCTGGGCGAAACCCCTGCGGGGGCAATAACCCGAGCTCATTCTAATTCGCTCGTGCCTGGAATCATTATAATTCTATATTTCCAATAAAAACTGAGTTAATGGAATATTTCTTTGAAACCACTACGAAAATACTTATATAGAAAGTTAAAACAATGAAACGTGACTGCTTAAGTCACAGAAAAATTTTTTCACTAAAAGAGACCAAAAAATTTATAGTGTCCAAGAAAGCAAACGAAGTTTCCAAAAATCTTACTGTCAGTTTATGTTCGAGTCAAAGAAGATTTTTTCACAAAAAGGGGCAAAAAATTATAGTCTCCAAGAAAGCAAACGAAGCTTCCAAAAATCTTATGTTCACTTTATGTTCCACAGGAAGAGGTGAATTTATTGTTGGCCTGACAGAGGACCTGGCAAAACAAGAACTCCAAGCTGGACAGTTTATTGGTCTGATAAGCCATGTGAACATCTTTGACAAAGCCCTTGATAGCGAGGACATAAAATGGATGTCACAAGGCTGTGGTAAAGACGTTTTGCTTGCGATTTTCCCCTGGTCGCAGTTTATTGACGGTGTTGTTGGAGACGTGAAAGTCGAAAAATCTGCATTGTGCGCAGATCCTGAAGGTGACCTACGCAGTGGTGTTGACAAGTAACCACATACATTACAGTGAACATACTACAATTAGCAATTATTGAATTCAACTTTCGTACCATCTGAAGAATTATGGAGATCGAGGATCACACCCTCCGAGATCTACATAATTCTTCAGATGGTAGGAAAGCCGAATTCAATAATTGTTTTATTATTCATTCAAAATAATTCCTACATTTTAGTTTAAAAACAAGCTAAAACATGCTTACCTCCATCGATGCTAAGTTCATCTCCGATAGTGCATGTTTATTAGCAAGTTTAGGAGATAAAGGATTGTTCAGTTGTGCAAATATTCTCCAAATAGCAGATGTCGTCCGTCGAATTGTCTTCTTGCTGTTCCTGCTTTGTTTTAGCCAATAGTTCGCCTGTTTCTTCATCGTGAAATGAGTGGAATGTTCCGCCATTTTATATTCACTACCAAAACAACTCAACCTCGTCTCCAGGTCTTCTCGGTTAACCGTTCAATAATCTATTAAATTTACATATCGCAAAATAATAGCTGGTTGTGATAAATTATGCGTGGGATTTTAGCCAATCAGAAACGGAGAAATAATTTTGAATGAATGATAATATAATTTGTTATATTCCTAGACTTTCACTCAACTAAACAGGGACAGCCATTGGCTGATTCTTGGTCACGTGGCCTTGACTAAAATCAAATGTATCCCGATCGTGATACATCAAGCAATGTACCCCGCTCGGGATACATTACAGCACGTGATCAGAGCATGGTGGAAAGTGGCGTGAAAGAAGGCGGGAAAAACACTGCCAGTTTTCTTTTTCGTGAATGAACACAACAACATTCACAACAACACAAACATGAAGCCTCAAGCTAAAAAGCAACGATTTTCAAAGTTATCCCAGAAGAGAAACAGCAGCTAGTGGAGGAAGATGCAGATAATATAAGGAAAGTACTTTTTAAATCATTCATTCAGTGGTTTTGAGAATTAAATTTGTGTTCTCATAAGTACCGAGTCGTACTGTTTTGATTCGCCCCTCTTAAGCGTATTCTTTTGTTGCTGTTGAAGTACGTTGAAGTGAAAGTCTGGAAATATAACAAAACACTTAATGTCAGGTCCCTCGGGAAACCAGTTAGTTTTGTTTTCCCTCGAGTCCTGATGTTTCCCTCGACTTCGTCTCGGGAAACATTAGGACTCTTGGGAAAACAAAACTAAATGTTTCCCTCGGGATCTGACATTAAGTGTATATTATTACCTTTAATTAGCAAATCAATAAAAGTTCTATCAAATATCCCCTTGCTAAGATCCTCAGTTCGATAATGTAAGTGATAAAACCGACTTCAATGAGACAGAGTCTTATGTGAGTGATAGATTTTACCTTAAATTCAGGTCTATCAACAAATAGCCTGCGTTTGACCGAGGGAAGCGAGCCGTTCGAGCACTCGCGAGCGAGCCGCGAGGGGCGTGCACGTCACTTTGCGTGACATTCCTCAAATCGAGTGCTTGCTCGCATGTTAATCAGTAAATTTTCGTAATAATTTTGATGATTTTTCACTAAAACCATTGAGAAAATACGTTTCAATTAGATGTTTTGTTTCTGGATTTTGTTGTGAGTTTTTCTTTTAAGGCGCGTGAATGCCTTAACCTATTACTTAGATATGACGTCATATCTATATTTCTAAACATTTTTAGGATACCGCCTCATGGTGTACAACTACAACACGTCGCAAACATCTCAAAGATCCTTATTTGAGAGTCCACTGTATGAACGATCTCATGAGGGTCACAAAATCTGTATGCGGTTCAGATATCTCATCTACGGCCCTGGGAGACACTTCCTTCGTATTTACCAACAACTGGATTTAACTGACTACTCGCGGAGGCTGATGTGGGCAGTGAACGAACCAAGCAACACTGACTTGATCTGGAAATATGGAAGAGCGGCACTTCCGAGTGTTACAAAATACAAGGTAATGAAAACCAAGTCACCACATAACCTCTTTAGTTTTTATGTTTTGTTTTCCCAATGAACATCTTAGGGAAATTTGGTACATAAGACACTGAAAATAAAACAAAACTTGAAAGAAACAGTTCCCTGTAGTATTATCATATGATTGAAATTTTTATAATAATGACGGTATCGAAATCTTGCTGTTTTAGCAAAGCCCAATTAACTGACAGTTAATTGGGCTTTGGGCTTTACAGTTACTGTAATAACGAAACAGCAAAGAACAAAGCGACTTGAGTATTCGGTGGTTTATTTAGTTGGAAACGAGGCTGATCGATGATATATTTGATTAGAAACGAGGCTTCAAGGCGAAGCTTCAAGGCTTCGAGGCGAGGTTCAAATGTGAACTAAAAAAAAGGCTTTTACGGCTATTCAAAGACGAAATAGCTGAACTTCTGACTTAAACTGAATTCAAGAAATGCAATAATACGCAAAACCAAGACAGGATAAAGGGGACAGAGAAGGCATCCTCCATACACATCTTATTCCATAGGTAATTCGTCTCGAGTTATTTTTAAGACCATAGATCCCAAGGGGGATTAGACAACAGCCAATCACATAGCGCGAATGTGTTCCGCGTGGATGACCACGCTCAGAGCCACGCGTCCTTCACGAATTGACCCAGAAAAAAATGGCGGAAGACGCGGAGAGCGATATTGCTATTTGTTTTGTCGACGAAAACGACTAAAGCTTTCTGCTAAAGCTGTGTCAGCGAAACTGAAATTAAAGAAGAATCGCCCTTGCTCTCTTGTATAGAGCAAACAGTACAGCAGGGAAATCCTTAACACACTGAATATTCTCTCAGGATCATTTTTTATTGACAGTTTGAAGAGAGCAATTTCTGGTTTGATATTTATTCTTTTATTAGTCTTTTATTATTTTATTATTCAACAAAGATAACACTTGGTGTCTTACTTGCTTTATTATAAAAACGACCGGTTTCAATAGACCGACGAAATTCCTCATTTTATTAAAGCACTGAGGTTACGACAACTTCGAGTTAAACTGATTTCACGGGTTCTCAAATAGTTCAGCGATTCCCTTTTCCTAGGTGAGCGCCGACTCATTTCGCTTCAATATTAATTAAGAGATGCTCTCGATCTCTTTACGCTTTCATTGCCCTTCGCCCAACATGTTTTGCACGGCGTTCAGTCATGCCAAACCTCCGGATCCACGAAACATCCACGCAGCGCGCGAGGTAACTTTATCCCGATTCTAAAAATAACTCGAGACGAATTACCTATGGAATAGGGTGTGTATGGGGGGTGCCTTCTCTGTCCCCTTTATCTTCTCTTGGCAAAACATATTGCTCGGTGAAATTTATCTACATTTTGAGACGAATCTGCAAGAAAAAACATCTGTTTATACCCTGAAACCGTGCCGAGAAATAGGTCAAAGTTTTGAAGAAAGTCTACGAGGAGGTAAGCATGTCAAGAACTTAGAAATATTTTGAATGAATATTAAAACAATTATTGAATTCGGCTTTCCCATGATGTGAAGAATGACCGGGTCTCGGAGGATGTTATTCACTTCAGCCTCGGTGGATAACATCCTCCTCGATCTGCTATTCTTCACATCCTACTCACCTCCATTCAATAATTGCTATATATTTC